ATTGTTACTCTTAATATACTTATTAAAATACCTATGATAAGATTCTTAAAATATTTTTGGTTTAAATATGTAAGATAATTTCGCATTCACATGTTTGCTATTACAAGAGTGAGGCCAACTATTGAACCCATCAAGTATTAGTTGCCTTTGATTTGCCATTTTCATTTAGAGATTGACAAATCGAACAAACGTTTGGGTTAAAAATATTAATGATTAAATCGGAGTGAGTCTGACTTAGAGTAGTTGCATCATGTCACTTAGATATATACTCTCTCATACATTATTTATAATTACTCTTATATTTTCTCTTTTAAATTAAATGTTGCTTTGAGAGCCAAATTTTCTTTTTATAGCAGAAAAAAATGAAGTTAACCGGGTAGGCGAAAGTTCGGTTTTGGTTCGTTTTTTGATTACAAGTGGGAGTTGTTATCGGGTTTCAAACCTTTTCGATATTACATTTTCCGGTGTTAAGGAAGAATTTGCAGTTTCAGTACAATCTTTTTAATTGGAATTATTGCAAGGTGTACTCTATAAAGTATACAATATATTATATATAAATGATCAACGTTACGAGCTAAATCGATTTAATTGCAATGTCCGTCTGTCTGTCGGTATGTCTGTATATACACGAACTACTCACTCAGTTTTTGAGATATCGGTGTGGAATTTTGCACACGTCCTCTTTTTACCCAGATAGTGCTCATTTATCGGAACCGCCGATATCGGACAACTTAGCATATAGCTACAATACAAACTAAACGATCGCAATCAAGTGGCTGTATTCTAAACTTTTTCAGTTGACGAGATATCTTCAAGAAATTTGGGGTGGATTATGGTCCGAAATTAGGTGTAACCTCTAAAGATTTTTCTTACTAAATTACTATAGCATATAGCTTTGCCTGTAAGCAATATTTTGTATTTGTGAAGGGTATTATAATAATATAATTTTTATTTTCTACTTTATTGATCTATAATGGCTTTGCTTAGTACTCAGCTAACTTACCCAATTACACTCCATATAACGATTTATGTGACAAGCTTTTAAGCTTATCGACACAGTTTATTAAAACCCACAATAGCAATATGTTTATAAATTTCATTTTACTAATAATAAAATTAAATAACTTAACAGCTTAAACACAAAAGTTTGCTAGTTTTAATTACCGTCATCCATGCACCAATACTACTATGAGTATATGTGTGTTATGTATAACAAATGACAACGCACTAAAACAATAACAAACATTTATGTTTTATGAATTCGGAATAAAAACACACAACTTCAAATAGTGTACATTATAAATATAATATATACGAGTATACCATATATACGAGTATGGGCTATAAAATATTAACAAGCAATCTGGCAACAAATAATGGTGCACTATGCGAGGCTACAAAAGCCGCGCGAATGAAAATGCGATTAAGTGAAATTTAATAGCAAAATACTCGAAAAGAGAGTGATAAATATGTATGTATGTATTTATATATTGATACTGTATATTTATGTATGTGTGTATGAGTGCGCATAAGTTTTGGTCAAACAGCCGCAACAAAAACGAGCCACTAAGCCGAACTTAAGGACTGCCGTAACGGCTTATATATGGCAAACACATATACATATATATCTACACAAATACAAGCATACTAAAGATATATATATGTATTTATGCCAATATATTATATATAAATATATACGTCACTCATATTCAATTTCATGAAATTTTTATTGAATATTTTTGGTTATTGAAAATGGCAAAAATGTTTCCTGCCGAAAAATTGCGTTGGATTAAGAAGTTCACTGGTCATTTTCAGCTTAAGCGTAATGAGCAGAAAATTTTTGTTTTACTTTTCGTTCTTGCTGCTGTCGCTCAGCGGGAAAAGGTTGGCAGCAGTGGCGTTTTTCGTACGTCTGCACAGCCCAAAAAGGACTTGAGTTGTCAATATTTTTAGTTAATTTTCAAACAAAATTTATTATGCAGTTACAAGGGTTTATTTACACTTGTGTTGTTATTGTTTTTGCTTGTTATATTGTGTACCGTTTTAATCAATTTTGATGAAGGACCTCTTATGTCGCTGCTTGACATTTATTTGTAACTTTATGGCTGCGCCGCAATGCTGTGAATTAAAGCTTTAAAGCTTGTACACTCAGCTATATGTGTGTATGTGTGTGTGTATGCCTCGGCCTGCTGCGTGAAATTTAACCCGCTTAATAAAATGTAATAAAGTGAAATAAATGCAGCACTGTCAGAGAAATTATCAAATATAAATTTGAATTAATAAAATGAGTAATTACACAGCTGGCTGACATAAATTACATTGATTACAGTTGAAGTAGCAACAAAAAAAAGTATGTTTAATAGCTTTAATTTAACAGTTCAAGAATTTTGCTGTAATACAAAGACATATAAAGCACGATTATATACAATAAATGCTGAAAATTAACAGAGTTTGGAGCGCATTTGCCGCATTTTAAATCAAAGAACTCGAATATATTAAGATATTAAGTACAATAATTATAATGAAGGTCTGTAAATGAAATTCATAAAGTAATTTATCAATAAGCAATTACTTACAATAATAATTTCTTAATTAATGGATATTAAAATAACGCATCGATTACAAAGTCATGCTAAATATAGAGGTACTTCTTTCAATAGCCTTTTTTTTTGACAGATCACGCATGAGCCGTGTCAAGCTGGCATGTTATTTTTGTTCAGTATTGTTTGGAATTTCATCATGGAAAGACTTACGTCTGAACAACGTTTACAAATTGTTCAATTACGAAAATTCAAGTTCTGTAAAGAATGTGTTTCGCGCCCTTCGCTCAACTTATGATCAACATAATCGGCCTACTGAGCGTACTATTCGCAACACCATTACCATTACCATTACCATTACCATTACCATTACCCATCTTGAGACCCAGCATTCATTATTGGATAATAGTCGACCGAATAGATCACGTCCAGCACGCAGTGAAGAAAATATAGCGGCCGTAGCTGAGAGTGTGATCGGCGTCACCATCAATGGCGACCGTCATGGATCGTGCCATGATAACCGACTATTTAGTGCTTGAAATTGAAGCACGTGATCTCGATAACATGTGGTTTAATCAAGACGGCACAACTTCCTACACATCACGTCTGAGATGTAACCGCGGCCAACATTTGAAAGAGATAATCTTCGAAAAGTAAATGCCAACGAATGTTCTTTCGAATGATAATAAACATTCCCCATTCAATTTTAATTTTTTATATTTTTTTCTTTAAGAAAGTAGGAAACCTTGAAATGGATCACCCTATATATTAAATCATCCAAATTCTTCCATAGGTATTGCTGCCGAAGGCCGATTAGCTGAGACAATTCAGCTGTTAATTGACTCATACGGTTTGGTCTTCAGACGTACTCAATTTAGGTAATTGTCATTCAATTAGTTCTTTTATAAACAATATCGTTACCCCGAACAGGGTGTAGTAAGTTTGCCACGAAGTTTGTAACACCCACAAGGAAACTGTATACAAAGTGACCGGTCAGAATCAAATATTTGTATTCAGAACTTTGAAATCACAAAATTTGGCATATTTTATTATACCACACAATTCAAGGCTGTAATCTCCGAACACGTTCAGGTTTTTTGTGCCAGCTACATATTCTGTTCTGACCGCATATACGTGTCTATTTTTAAATGTATTCATTTATACAACTGTATAACTATTTCATTCGACTAACTTAGAACATATATGGTATATGTTTATTACATCGTAAACATGCCACAAAAGTTTCGAACGACCCTGACGTTTTTGTTATGTGTGTGAAGAATTTACTTTTAGATCTCAGCGTCGAAATTTCACATCATTAATTGAACAGTGATATTTTGGATTAGAGACTTATTAGAAACATTTGGATTTCCTGTGAGGAATCACGATAAATCATGGGTTCCACATAAATGTTGTGTAGTGTGTATGAGACTGCTATTAAGTTGGGCTAAACATTAACCTAGATATATGCCATTTGCTATACCAATGATTCGGACCGAACCAAAAAATTATGTAAGTTTTTGTTGTTTTTGTTTGACTCAAACAAGAGTCATTAAAACCAGGTCCAAACACTCTACCCAGTATCTAAACTTGTCTTCGGCCAACGTACCTATCCTACAAAGTGCTGAACTGCCTAGTTCAGCAGTGGATTTTTATATCTGAAAGAGAAATTCTCACACTCAGCGTGGCAAAAATCAATGATGAAATATTTAGAGGTTAATAAAATACGGCAACTGATAAAGTATAAGAGCTTTGAAGAAAAACTGAATAATCTGAAAAAACTCGGCTGGAAATGTTTTGTGAGTGTTGTCCAAAATTTTCTTAGAAACCATAAATCGGAAAATTACAAAGACTTATATAACTATAAATATACATATAATGACAAATAAAGCTTTTGGATGTAATATAATATTATATGTCCTTAAAAATACATATTTCGGACTCTACTCTCTTCGGAGAGGTTCCAACATAACTATTTCTTAATAAAAAAGCGCTATCAAGGGACATGGCGCGCAGGAGTGTTAGCAGATTATTGTTGAAGACTTAAAAAAACATTACCAGCCAATATTTACAAAAAAAATTACGAAAATCATAAGTATTTTTTCTATATTAAGCAATAACTTCTCTAAATGAAGCTGATACTTGTATATTTAAAAAAAAATTTTTATATGAATTTTCATGTGACAAAAAAGTTAAAATATTACTAACCAGTGTTATTTAATTGCTCTCTTGTTGGTAAAATAATAATATGAAAATATATGCATTACTATGACACATTTTTTCAGAAAATGCAAAAAAGACCACACGGAAATCGAGATAAAATGTATTGACCCTTAAAAATTCAACCATCCCCTCTCCTTGCTCTTCCCGGCACAAAATTGCTCGTAAAGCATTGTTTATATAATTATTGTTATTTTATTTTATGTTTTCTCTTATGTGTTTCAACCTACTTTAATTTTGCCTGTGACAGATATTAATTTAAAAAGATTTAGTAAAAGTAAAATGTCATATATATTTTTTTATTTCGATTAAAATAATTGCAAATAAATATCTAGCATATTCTAAACTCTAATAATCGCTTAGTTTTCCCTTGCGCATACCTTTCAGTAAGCTTTTGATATCTCGTTTTAATTTCGTGTATGACCTTATAGTGAGTGCTAATTCTCTTCTTCCACTGTTCTGTCACAATATCATATTGAAAAATGTAAGCAATTTCGATTTGAAAGATGCTGTGGAGTGCGGGTTGCTTGTGTACGAATTGTACTGTTATGTTTTGGTACTGATAGATATGTAATGGTTGTAAAGTAGTACTCAAGAAATTAATACTGATTTAGGTTCTGCTGTCTTTAAACGTAAAAATGTTTCTGAGCTGAAAATACAATGTGCTCTCACCTCTATACTCTTGAATGATTGACAGGTATACAATTTTGTACTGAAAAGCAATTAATTTTGCCGGCATTCTTTTTTGAGGTGCGCAGGTAGGGCATTTTCACTGATAGCTGAAAGAGTAGTTCATTCAATTGTTAAAGTTGTGCTTAATTGTTACCTGTTGAGGATTATATTAATAAAATTCTAATTAGTTCAAGCGATTCTGTTATGTTGCACAACTTATTTGCTGTAATGATAAAGGTTATTAATCTAAAATATTTTTAAGGTGTGTTCTCTGATGGAATGTATTTAAAAATATAGACACTTATAGTATTTTTTGGGTTCAAAAATTGCTTATACAATCTACTCTTTATTTAAATTTAGCTATACCATATACGAAAGAAGTTTTATATGTATGTTATTATACCCTGAACAGGGTATATTAAGTTTGCCACGAAGTGTGTAACACCCAGAAGGAGACGTCTTAGACCTTATAAAGTACATATATACATAAATGATCAGCATAATGAGCTGAGTTAACTTAGCTATGCCTGTCTGTCTGTCCGTCTGTTTGTATATATATGACCCAGTCCCTCAGTTTTTAAGCTATCGATCTGAAATTTTGCACCTGTGCTTTCTTCACTAAGAATCTGCTCATTTTTTGGAACGGCCAATATCGGACCACTATAGCATATAGCTGCTCTACAAACTGAATAATCGTAATCAAGTTCTTGTAAAGAACTTTTATATCTGCGACCTTTTGAACACATTCACCATCTTTCATCTGGCACCGGAACGGACCCAGATTTTAACTGTTCAAGGGCTGTTAACCCGGTAGCATTGCTCAAAATTTTTTGCGGAATATACAACTCCAATAATCTCCTCTTTGTGAAGCTTTAATTTAAATGAAATTGAGGCAGTTGGATGGTTATACATTTGAGAAATACTTTTGAAGGTTACTCGTCAACAAGTTTCACCAGATGTTCCTTTGTATAGAAAAATGTAGAAGAATATAAAAATAATGATATAACTCGAAATTGAGTTTTCGCAATTGTCTTTATTTTTTGGAAAACATTTTGATTTAAAAAATTGTACTCATATGCAAGTAAACACGTGGTATATAACGAAGTGGTAATCATTACCAGTTCTTGATTCAAAAAGTAATTGTTTTTTTAAGGTTTTCAAATAAAATTTTTTAATTGTACTTATATAGAAGTAATCATTAGTAATCTTGGTAATCATTACAAGTAATACAAAAGTTATAATTATTAAATTTTTTTTGTAGAAAATACTTGTAAAAATTTTACTTATATCTAACTAATTTTGAAAAATGTAATTAAATGGTAATCATTACCAGCTAATTTCTGCTAATGTGTCTAGCGGGAATTATTTTATTAATTCGTTTGTAAGAAATATTTTAAACAGATTTTACTTTTATCCAAGTAAAATACTTTATTTTAATTTATGTGCCTAGAAATAATTATTTTACTAATTCTTTTGTAGAATATATTTTTAAAAATTTTACTTATATACAAGTAATGATGAAAAATTTAATTGAATAGTAATCATCCGAGTTTCTCATCTCATTCACTGTCTAGAGGTAATGAATTTGGTTAGCCTTTCGACAAAGTTGGGTAAACACATTTTTAAAATAGAAAACTTTGCCATTAATCTTTTGGTATTTTTCGGTAAATAAATTTATACACACTTTTTCACTGCTCACTACTCAGACACCGTTAAGTACGGCGCTGTCTCGAGGATTTACGGCACTCATTTAGCAAGCGCAATTCGATGTGTAATCGCATAAAGATCAGCAAATCGACGTTAATGAAACTAAAGGAGATAAAAGCAAATAGCAAGGCGATAAGGAAAAAAACAACAACAAAATACTCTAAGTAATGTTAAAGTCTATAAGCGGATAGCTTCCGCGAAATCTTAAAATAAAAGCGCTATGCATTTTGCATTTGGTGGCGTCAGAGCATTGTACCACCCACCGGCAAGGCGTTGTCTTCTGCACAAGTGCTCCGTTATTAATGCAATAAAATTAAATTCAATTTTGGTTACTTTGCGTTGTGCTGCCAGCATCATTTTATGCTACCACAAAATTTTTGCGACTTGCACTTAGACGCCAGGCCATTAATAAGTTTCTGCACGCTCACATTCTTTCGCTATCGCCACAACAACAACCACAACAATTGTAAGCTGTAGCCAAGTTCTAAAATTTCACGACCCGAAATATCCTACTGTGAGAGCTATGGCAATATTGCTGGCGAATTTAATTATGATGGCGAATGTGTTGTTGTTGTATTTTTTATTTGCTTTCATATGCTTAGAGTTTTCGGCTGGCATTTTCAGTTTTAGCTGATTTTTAATTTTTAATTTTGAGAGTTCACTCAATACAACTGTGTGAGAGATGGAGCAATTTTTGCAATCAAAGGCGCGTAGGTGGGGTTTAAATTATAAATGATTAAAAAAATTATACGAATTATATTTTAAACAACTTTTAGAATTTTTTTTCTTAGCAACAATTTAAAAAAAATTTTTTTTCGTTAACATTTTTTTTGCTCTGCAATGCACATTGACAAACAAATGCTTATAAATTTTCCGCAAAAAAGTAACCTAAAACACTCTCAAGTTAATGTTAAAAAATTAGTGTTGCATTAGACACGCCACTCACACACTTCAAGTACCGTTAGATGCTCTTTTTCGCAAACAAATCAAAAACAACTCAATATTTGTCAACACTTTTTACTTCAAATATTTGGTTTTTGTTTTGTTGTTGTTATTTAAATTTACTGAAAATCACTTTAATCTCACTCCCACCACCAGAAAGTACCGTTAAACACACATATGCGTGCCCCACAATTCATGGTCGGTCGCTTTCATCTTCGCTTATATTTTACCGTTCACAATTCACGAATGCTAGTAAACGCTTGGGCATATAGAAAACGACTAACGGTAAATGTGAACAAAGGCGCACAATAAAACGCTAAAGTGGCCAACGGCGCATCAACTGTTATACGCGAGTTCAGCCACAAGCAGCAGCTGTTTGGCCGAGCATCCATCATCGTCCTATAAGCAGCTGTCAGAGCAATAAAGAGCACCCACAGCAGCTGATTCGACACACGCTTTATGCATGAGCTTTACACGAGGCGGTTTTTCGTCGAACAGTCAACTTAACTGTATTTTAGCGCAACATGTGCTCGCAGGTGCGCGTTTCAGCTGATTTCTTTTGGCGCCAAAATCTTTAACTGTTATACATGCGTGTTTGTTTACAATTTACTATAACATGTGTGTGGGTGCACTCAGAGCGTTAACTGTTAAATATGTTGACCACTGTTAACTGTGCTATGTAGCTTTTTAAGAGAACTTATATTTATAAAGAGACTTGAGTAGAGGTTAAAAGCTTTTGTGGCACTTGTTTGCTTGCTGTTTGAAAGCTTAAAGTTTATGCTATATGGTAGAGCTTTAGATGCTATAAGCTTTAAATTTGAGCTTTGGTTTTCTGGAGCTTTAAGTACTTTCATTAGTGAATGTTTAATGAATTAAATTAATTTTCTTTGACTTGTCAAATTAACAAGAATTATTATGGAAATGGGAAGCACTCAATTATTATATAATCCAGTCTTTTTACAAGTATATGAAAATAAAAAAATTTGTTACGAATTTTCTAGATTTTCTGGAAATATCACATGTTATATATCGAAACCAACCAAATATAAGAGCAATAGAAATTTGTTCTTCGTAGACAAGAAAGAAACTATATGATGATCATGAGCTTGTAACGAAATTACTCCGAGGGCAAAGTCATTAGGCATTCTTTCTAATCTAATCTAGTACCATAAGCGTAGTCTAAGTTTGAGTAAGCTTTGGTTACGGTTTCAACGGATATGTATCAACTGCTTTATAAAGGTTTTTTGTTTAATTTTACCTGAGTTTATAGCTACATCTTCAGTTATTTGTGCAATTAGCACGCTATTACCCGCATAATTGAACTCAATTTAGCATACAAAAGTGCAGCTTTAATAAATTTTTGCTTAAAGTTAAGTGAAATCATATTCTCTTCTTCTAATTAGAATGTTCAGATCGATAACTAATTGTATAAAAAATACTTTTTATCTTAATTGCTGGAATAATTGAGCACAATTTAACTTATACATGGTAGTGTGAGAATATTAGAATTTAACAAAAAAAAGTTCAGCTTAAATAATTATTAGCTCGGATATTAAAAGACTCAGATTATTGCTGATTATAGTGCTTTTGGATTAAAAGTAAATTAGGCAATAAACATATTTTTTTCCAAACTAAGTGGTTAATTGAACTCAATTTGTTATATACATGCTTTAATTTAATACAAAATTAATTGCGGTTTAATCGACTAATATTTTTTATGTAATGTGAGGAATTGTCCTTAACTGATTTTTATACCCAAGATACAAGATATTTTAAGTTTGCCACAAAGTTTGTAAGACCCAGGAGAAAATGCCGGAGCCCAATAAAATATATATGAATGTAAATGGTCAGCGTGACGAGCTGAGTTGACTTAGGCAAAGCCGTCTGCCTATATACACGCGAACTAATCCCTCAGTTTTTGAGATATTGAACTAAAATTTTGCAACTGTTTTTTTCTTCCCGAGAAGCTGCTAATCAGAATTGCCAATATCAGACCACTATTTAGCTGTCGTACAAAACGACCGTTCGAACTTAAGTTCTTGTATGGAAAACTTTTTTATTTGACGAGATATCTTTACAAAATTTGGCACATATTATTACCTAAGGTATTGCTACAATGTCCGAACAAATTCTTTAGATCGGACATATATTTTATATGGCTGCCATATAAGCTGATTGTATAAATCAAGTCCTTGTATGTATATCTTCACGAAATTTGACAAAAATTAATGTCTAAGACAACGGTACAATCTCCAAACAATTGTTCGGATCGGTTGACTATATCATATAGCTGCTATATAATTGGACTGATCAAAATCAATTTCTTGTATCGAAACATTTTTATTCCTTTAGCGTATTCTAGCTACGTTGTAACCGAAGCTAACCTTATTTCTGTTTCTTATATATTTTTTTAAAAATCAATTTATAGAAGATATGTAATTAAAAAACTGTATGTACCTATCAGAAATACCGCTTTGTAGTATAAACGATTTTACTCACTTTAAA